GCTCAACAGGTGGGCGGCAGCGCAGCTGCCCAACGCAGCATCGGCCCTTCGTCTGGGCCGTTACCCTGGCGCGGCGCCGCGCGCTGTCTGCATGCGAGTCCCCATCGCCAAGTTATAACCCAGCGGTAGCTTCAATTACACTGACAGTATAAAAGCAAAGGAAGGGAGAGGCTAAGCAGAACCTTTTAATTTGCTTAGGCCAAGTGAATAATGCCGGCTGCACCGGCGTAAGCAACGTCAGGACTTATTCCAAAAGGCAGGATTCAATTAAAAAGTTACCTGGGTGTCTGCCCCGACACGGCCACTCAAACCCGTCTACAGGCTTCAGCCTTCCTCCGTAAACCCGGCAAGAGAAAGCAGCCGCTCAGCACTCTGGTGGTAAACAAAGGGATGCACCGTCTCCGGGATTCGTGCAAAAGTCAGAAAAGGATTAATCGTGTCACGACCACCGCGTGTCTTAAGGCAAAATTGTTTTATGCCCAACAGGAGGTCGCAACTATTGTCTCATGATGTGTTTGAGTTAATCGCTAACGTAAATGAAGCCAAGGAAAAGGACTTCTCATATTACTGTACTACATGATTTATTCACTTCGCATAATTTGATTTTTTAATAAAAGCAATTATGTAGTTTGGTGTATTTCTGCTGGGCTGCTTTTCTAGCTTGTAAATGCAATGCATGATGAAAAGCGATTATTAATAATAGCCCGGTATTATTTGAAATCCTATGCCCTAAATCCTGACTGCCTGTCTCAACGGGATCTTGATTAAGACCAAATGTGCATCACATATCAAATACACAACCAACTTTCCGCACTCAATTCCAGGTACTCCGGCCCGGGCTCGTCAGTGGAAACGCTCATCCGGGGAAGGGAAAACAGCCCCTTAGGGGCATTGCTGCGACAGGCTCGTGGTTTCACTCCTCTATCACCAACCGCTGGCCTGGCCGGCTTGCGTTCAATATGTACCTGCACCCCAGGGCCAGGGCTTTTTCTTCCGCTCGAGCAGGTCCATCCCTGAGGCTCACGGCACACAGAGGTTTTGCACACAGTAACAGGGCTGTTCACCCAAGGAAAGCGCAACAGCTCAGAGACGCTGGTACCGCAGAAGGGAAGGCGGAGGCACCCCAAAATTGTAGAGGGCTCACGCATCCCTCGGGTCTGTTTCCGTCCTTGCAGCCAGCAGTTCTCCCGGGCGGCTCACTCAAAAATCCACTGTTCTTTTGGCTGCAGCAAGAATTAACACCAAACCCTGATTTCGAGGGGCTTTGCGCAAGACCTTTACTCAGGGTCCACCATATCTCTGTGAGCCTCCCACCGCAACTGCTCTTGCCACAGAAGCAAAACAGAACAAAACAAAACAACACTTGCAAAAAATATTTCCCTCCCCCTGCTCCGGAGCCTGATGACACTAGCAAATATCTAAATAGTTTCTTGCAAAGGCTTGCCTTCACCAGAGAGAGGATCTCTCATTAAAGCATAAAATTAAACACTTCAGAACAAAGATATTGGCACATTAATATGGAGATTCTGCCTCACCCCCCCTTCATCAAAATGCATTAGC